GCCACTGTGACGATCGTAACGACGAGAATGCCAACTACTCCTTCTCTCATCATTATAGTTGTATGACCGATGCAATCTGGAACAATGACTATTTAATAAATGGCAACGCGCACCAGACTAGCCGGTGCGATCATGCGTTTTGTGCAATTCAGCCCATAACGATATTTGCCTGTTAATGATTTTCACTGCTTTGTACTTTAGTCTATGCAAAAATAGTTCAAACATTGAAAACCAGACGTAATGATTTTTACTTCCTTGTACTTTAGTCTATGCAAAAATAGTTCAAACATTGAAAAACAGTTAAGAAAATGATTTTCACTGCTTTGTACTTTAGTCTATGCAAAAATAGTTCAAACATTGAAAAACAGTTAAAGATTTCACTTCCTTGTACTTTAGTCTATGCAAAAATAGTTCAAACATTGAAAAACAGTTAAAAACTTTTCACTGCTTTGTACTTTAGTCTATGCAAAAATAGTTCAAACATTGAAAAATAGTTAAAAATTTCATGCACCAGTTCACTGCTTTGTGCTTTAGTCTATGCAAAAATAGTTCAAACATTGGAAAACAGTTAAAAATTTCAACAGACTAGCCGGTGCGATAATGCGTTTTGTGCAATTCGGCCCATCGAACGATTGCCTATTAATGATTTTCATGCTTTGTACTTTAGTCTATGCAAAAATAGTTCAAACATTGGAAAATAGTTAAAAATTTCACACACCAGTGCTTTGTTCTTTAGTCTATGCAAAAATAGTTCAAACATTGGAAAACAGTTAAAAATTTCACGCACTCTTGTACCTTGTCTATGCAAAAATAGTTCAAACATTGGAAAACAGTTAAAAATTTCACGCACCAGCGTATGAAAGCTAAATAGCAAAAATAGTTCAAACATTGAAAAACAGTTAAAAATTTCACGCACCAGCGTATGAAAGCTGAATTGGAAACCTTGAAGGATGAATATCTTTTCGTGATTCCCGAGTTAATAGTTTACCCGCCAAAATTTCCACGAGGCCGTAGGTGGTAACCGAGAGCACGAGAACGCTGTTGAATGGGCAAGGTTGAGCGTGGGCAGGGGGTCATTAGCCTTAAATTTCAGCCTCCTAGACTCCGCGGTTCCCGAGATACTAACTTACCCGTGAATATCTTTCAAGGGGCCGTACGTGTTACCCGCGGGTAAGGGAAGGCTGAATT